TACACCTTCTTCGATAACGATATAAAAAATGGTCGATATAGTGCACGATATAGGCACGTGCTATGAGTGACGCAGACAGCACACACAAACAAGAACACATGCTAAAATGAGTGCTGTGCCTGCCTGTGATGAGGAGATTGTGAATAAAGAATGAATATTAGTCGAATTTAAAATAAACATTTGCATTTGAATGTTAGGTGTGCATCAGGGAGCATCATTAGTGGTGCGCGAGATGCGGTGATAATGATGTAAGTGACGTTGTTGCATTTTAATGTTTTGTTAGTCTAGCCCACAAGACGCGCCGCTGCTGTGTTATTCATTCAAAATATTAGAGAAACATAGAAGCTCAATGCGGAGAAGATCTTGGTTAGGTTCAAACCGAAACCAAGCCATTCACACAGAACGCATATTCAGCGCATTTTTTTAGACGGACAAATATGACTGCTGCACTCGTGTCTCACACAAGAGATGTAGCCATGCAAAGTTAACATAGTTTAAACTTTTAGAAAACACGTTGTGAATTTGTGGAGGTTTATTCCTTTTCACTGCGTCTCATATGTTTTTAAATGCAGTCTGTGTGATGGGCGATTTGGCTCTTTGTATTAAGCAATGCATAAATACATGATGCGGAAAACTTGAAATCGCATCATATGACCCCTTTAAGACCTATTTAATCTGCATATAAAACATTAGAAATTATATATTTGTTTAATTTTTATTTTGTGTTTGACTGTTAAAACAAAAAATATTTGTTGTTTGTCTCAATAAATCGGGTTAATTTAAAAATACAGTGGTTAAATAAAAAAAAAAATTTCTATTGCTCTTTTTAAAAAAGGTTATAAAAAATGTCAATAATTATCGATACTGAACGATATAAAACATTATATCGTTGATCAATTTTTTAGCTATATCGCCCAGCCCTATGTTTGATTAGGGTAGGAGCTGAACTTTGCAGGACAGCAGGATTAAAGCGGTCTTCAAGATGTGATGTATGCTGTACACACACACATTTAAATATATATATATATATATATATATATATATAGGGAGAGAGAGAGAGAGAAAACTATTTAATACATAACATTTTTTTGTATTAAATGTTTAAATATTTATTTTTAATTTGACTTATTAGGTGCAAAATTGTAGGTAAAATTTTTAATTTGAACATCTAAATTTAATGCATTTTAAATGCATTTTTTTCACTTCATTAGATAATAATAATAAATAAGAATGTTACATTTGTGTTAAGAAAATGTTTAAATTATTTATATTAAATTTGATTCATTATTTACTTAAAAATCTAAAAATTAAATAAAAAAAATTATGGAAATTTAAATGCATTTTTTGCACACTCCATTAGATAACAGTAATGATAGTATTAAAAGTATATTTGTTTTATTAAATGTTTAAATATTTATTTTACATTTGATTAATTTTATTATTTATTCATTTACTTAAAAATCTTAATTAAAAATAAAAATTGTATCCCTTTTTGAATGCACACTTCATTAGAATAACAGTATATTACATTTGTTTTATCAAATAAATGTTTTAATATTTATTTTAAATTTGATTTAAATTATATATTTTTTTCTTTTATTATTTTTGTTTATTTATTTTTTAGCATGCTGCATGCTGTCAGTTGTTCATGGGCAAATCATGCCTTGCAAAACTTGCTTCTATTTTCAGCCTTGGTTCAAATTATGTGTTAGCCCTGCCATGGCTGCCAAAACATTGAAAGTTGAGTGTGCTTTGATTTTGCCTGCATAAATACACACACACACAACCTGTATTTGCCCTCTTAGATCACGCCCTATGGCCAGGCAATGATAAGAGACGCTGGGTACATGCACATCTGTTCCGTGTTGTTTTTAAACGTGTCTTTTGTTTTTAAACAAGTGCTTGACAAAGCTTCTCTTTGATCGTTGCCTGCTCTTGAGCCAAATCCATTTTAACTCTCCAACACACAAGTGGTCATCGTGATAGACTGCTCTAAGAAAAACACGTCAGAGGTCTAATTTAGGCATTCTGGATAAATCTTACCCTTTAATATTGGTCTGGGACCAACTTTCCTTGCATGAAACAAATGTTTAGCCATCATTGTAAGAAAACTGTGAAACTGTGCGGTCGCAGATTTGATTATTTTTCTTATTTAGTATTGACGCATCTTTCCTGGAGCTTTGCACTTGTGCAACAGGTCAGTCCGTCTTGGATAATAAATGCGATGAGCATGCATTAGGCATTGGGTCCCTAAACTGATTCAGAACATCGATGCATGATAACCTGGTCATATGTCCACCCATATGGCATGAAATCAATGGTGCAATTTACAATGGATGCATTATGGTGCCCTCACACCTAACATCAGAAAGATTTAGTGCATTACTGATTTAAACATCATTGTGGTCTTTTAAATATTGAAACCGTGTAGGTCTTCATTATCAATTAGAAAATTGCCTTTCAACGGCCCATATTACATTTAATATATATTTTAAAACATTTAATTTAATGCAATTGTGCATTTCTGTACATTTTCATTAGATAATACGGTAATGATATACAAAATTTATTTTGTTAAATGCTTAAATATTTATTTGTAATATTTATTTATTTAAAAAATAAAAATGTGAAAATGTATATTCAGTTTTCCTGTTCATTTTGCACACTTCTGCATAATAATAATAATTTATAGTTTAAATATTTATTTTAGATTTTATTAATTCAAGGCAGTTTGTTTATTTATGCATTTATTTATTTAGTATAAAAATTAAAAGAAAAAAACTTGAAAAATGTTATTTTGAAGCCTTGTTTCATTTTTGCACACTACATTAGATAATTGTAATGTATTACATTTGTAAGTATTACATTGTAATAGGGCTGAACGATTAATTGCATTTGCGATAATATCGCGATATGAGAAAATTCGATTTTTCGATCGCAGAGGCTGCGATTACACTCGGTCACGTGACATGCGAGAGTAAAGAGGTGTGTTCGACTTGAAGATCGATCGGTGTATGACATCAAAGTACGGTGAGAGAAAGCATAAGGAGACGTCTGCTCTCTTATAGCTCTCGCAGTAGGGCTGCACGATTAATCGAATGCGATTTACATGTACATTTTAATAGTAAAGCCGGTTCTGTATTCAGCA